TGTGTCTACTCGGAGTTTCGCGGGGTTTTCACGCACTCCATACCACCGACAACGCTGTCAGACACACACGAGACGTCGGACTTAGGTATTCAAGGAGCGACGGGCATGGATGCAGAGACGAAGTGATACGTAGCGCCAACCCAGACTCGATTCGCCCGCCAAACTGACCTACGATTCCGCCCGGCATTTGGGAGCTGTGTAGGGGGTGCATCAACATATTATCCATATGTCACTGTGTAAGTACCTTCGTCAGGCATGGATTCACGATGTATGCACACTCCCCTGGTCATATCCTTCACGCCGCCTGAACGTCAGAGACATGTACAAATACTGTACACACGAATCTAGCTCTCAAGATCGAACCCCCACTTGGCTATATGGTCGCCTGCGCCATCTGCTCCTCGATGAGGCGTTCGGACCATTACACGCGTCAGTGCGGGGTACTTCAATCGGGAAGGCGTACCCTACGCAAAATCGCGGTCTTGGTCTGCGCCACCTGGAGCAGCTCGGCCTGGGTCTTGCCCGACTCGAGCACTTCGCGGCGGCGGAGGTACGACTCGAAACCGGCGTCGGACCCGGCGAGCTGCAGCGTGAGCGGGCGGCGTGACGTGTACAACGTACCTCCGCATTCGTCGGAAAGTACGTCGCCGAGGTGTCCTCGTTGAAGAGCACCTGGTCGATGCCCTACGAGTCATCGGTGAGCACGGCCGAGAAAGAAGACTCGCGTCGTACGCCTTGTTCACCGCCTTGGTCTCGCCGATGGACGCTCCAGACGCCGCACCCCTCACGATGGCCCCCTCGACCGCCTCCTTCCCCGTCGCAGGAAGACCCATCGCCTTCCACCACCTCGGGCACGACCTCCTGAGGCGATCGACGGCGGGGATTGCGATGGATCCTCGTCGTGAAACGCGGAACGTCACGGCGATGAGAGAGGGATTCATGCCGTGGGCTCGGAGCTCCTCGGCGACGACGGCGTGGTCTGAAAAGCCGAGCTCAAAGCAGGCCCTGGAGGTCAGCCTGGAGCGCAGCGCGAACCCATTTGAAGAGGTACAGGTCCTCCCTCGGGGTCCAGCTGTGGTATTGGACCTGGCCAAGCTTGTCGCCCTTCGCCCAACTCTTGATCGAGGCGATGATCGCGTTCCGCTCGTTGATGGTGCAGGCCGGGTTGTATTTCCAGGCTGTCCCGTAAATGAACGAAGAAGCGCGAAGATGCATCGACCCACCACACCGAGGCTGTGGAAGAAGGCAGAACTTTGGTTCTTCTTGGATTTGCCTTGCTCCACGATATCCAGCGTCATGTCCGCAAAAGAGGCTCCGGTGTCCTACTGCGTCAGCAGTGTCCTGCAGTGTAGTGCCCACCTGGGAGACCTCGCGATACGCTCGGAGCAGAGCCTGTCTGTCCGACGAGTTCGTCGCAAAGTTCGCCGTCATTGCTCGGGACGCCCTGTAGAGGGATCCATAGGCGAAACGGGACTGGCGGAAAGCCTTGCCCTCGAGGATCGCGCGCTGGAGCTCGTTCTCCAAGCTCTGGCGGGCCATCGAGAGGTCGCGCAATTCGTCGATGGTGATCCACAGCCGGCCGGTACGGTAGCCTGCTGATGAGTGTGTGAAGGATAGTGGATCGTGACGAGAAACGCTTCGACCAGCGGCCGAGCGTTGCGAGACTCGTCAACCGTGGACGGCTGGAGAAAGAAGACCGCCATATCGTCCTCGTTGGCAAACGGAACGAGCTGAGGGGGTGAGCAGGACGTGGCGCGAGCGACCCACCTTCTTCCACTCGACGACGATGGTGTCTAGCACGGCGAGCTCGGCAGGAGTAAGCGGACCTTTGATTCCCTTCTTGTCGGGAACAGCTTTGACCTGGATCAGCATAGAGCCGGTCATGAATCGATGTGAGGCCTACCGACTATCTCCTTGAGGGAAAGGCTTGGTGAGAAACCGTCGTCAGCGACATCGCGACCCGCGCTGGGCCGCGACTCACCCGGCGGCGTCGGCAGTCCGCTTGGTCACCTGCGCAGGCGACTCCCAAACATTGACAGCCTCGTGATACAGCTTGCCATCTGGGTCGCTGCTCATTGGGTCACGAAACCCTACGACGGTCAGTCGCTTTCTGCCGACTGTACCAGCGCACTCACTGCCCAAGGATGCGAGGTCCGCGCTGAGGTGATCTTGCGGCCTCTTGGTGAGCTTCTCGCTGCGAACAGACAGCTGCGGGGTACATCGGGTCGAGGCCGAGTTGCTCGAGCGTCTGCGACGTAAAGTTGCAGATCGTCTCCGGGGTCACGATTGTAGGCGTCTTCCTCCGGCCGATCGGTATCAACGAGCCGTCGCCGTACTCGGATTTACCGCACGCTCCGCCGGGAGGCCCGTGGAGAAGCACGGTGCTGAGGCAAGGGTCAGGACTTCCCGGTCTTAGAGTGGATGTGGAAGGGAGTGTGGACTCACGGATCCCATTTCCAGGCGTACGGCTTGATCTGGCATTCATCAACACAAGGACAGGCCAGAGCCGGCCACTGAGGAAGCGCCCACCGTCTTGTACGCCCCCATCGAAGGGGCGGGCTTGGAGGACTTGGAGGCGGAAGATGAGGAGGTGGATGGCTTGGTCACGGCGTGCTGTCTGTACTTGATGGGCGTGGATTGGAGATTTGGATGTAGTCGGAGGAAAGAACTAGTAGTGAGAGAGGAGGATGAGAGGTTGATTGATGGTTGACGTGGAGTCGAGTGTGTCGCTCCGGGGTGGGACAGGTGTGACGGTGTGGCGGTGGTGCATGTTCACGCCGCCGGTGCACCCGAGCCATAGTTCCTAAAACCACGAGAACGTCAACTGCAAAGCACCTTGAGCATTGGACATTGCATACATCTTGCACAGCGACCATTGAGACGGGCTACATGCGAGAGGGGCAAAGTCCAGCAAGGCGGAAAGTTAGCTGTCAGATGCGCTCCCAGGCGGCACCGGCTAGGGATGCTGCGAGGTACGTCTGCGTGTGTATTTGACATCCCCCTGGAGCACCCCGGTTCTCTGGCAACACACTCGGCGACGCGATTTGTACCGCATCACCCACGGAGACAGTGAAACCAACCCGACTCTGAACCATCGCCCGCTCACGCTTACGGCCCGACGCATGGCCCAAAGCGACCCCGCAGGCGAAGCGGTATCGACAGGCGATGCATGTGAAACCGCGCTTGACCACCGGATCGGGAGCTTGTTTCGCAAGGGCAACACGGCGAAAATCGGCAAAACCCTGCCGGCCCTGAACAGGCGGACCGCCTCCTGAACCGCACCGCTGAGTTGCGCCGACTTTTCGGTTGGTTCGAGCCGGGTTGATGTTGCTGCGGCCTGATCCGCCGCCGATCCGCCTGCGACTCCTCGTGAAAGGGTCAGCGCCAGTCGCAGTGCGGCGATTCAGTCCAACTCACGAATCAATCGTCCATCGCTACGCCCTGGTTTCGTCTCTCACTCCCTCCCTATCCAGCCTCGCGTCGAGGTTCCGCTTCGCGTCGTCGAGCTCCCGTTCGTAGTCATCGATGCCTTTTCGGAGCTCGTAGGTGTTCACCGTGATCATTCCCTCGACCTGGTCGAGATGGTCCCGGAGGGCCTTCTCCAGCGCCTCGGCGATCCTCGCATCGCTAACACGTCGCTCGTGGCGGAACCGGGCATGACACACCGCGTGTTTGCGGAGCTCGCTTTCCTTGAGCGACAACCTCTCGTTGACAGGCTGAGAAAGCTGATCCCCGCCGGAGCCCATCGCCACACGTCGGGAGGCGAGACGATCCATCATCATGTGGAGACTCTGGATTCGCTCCTTGTGCCTTTGCTCGAGGTATGCAACGTGCACGGGGCACACGCTCTCGAGGGTAGCGGCGAATGCGGCGACCGGGGTCGTACCGTTGCCCTCCGGCATCGGGTCGTGATATACTGCGAGTCGGACGACGCGAAGGGAGGAGGGGTGAGAAGGCTGGTGACGTGACGGGGAGACGTGCGAGGGCACGGTTGTCGTTGGAAAAGTCTCTCTCTCGAGAGAAAGCGGCGAGGAGGGTGTGGAGTCGTCGGTAGATGCTCGGTGACGCAGCAACAAGTAGATGCTGCAAGGCAGCTTCTGTAGCGCAGTCAATGTAACTGTATGAATATGAGGACAAGTAGTGGCGACTAGCCTCGGAAGTAAGAGAGGAAGACGTTCGCAGGCATCGCCGTGAGATCCCGCTCAGGTTGACACGACCCCGACAAAACTCGCCATTGTCCCGTTCGATCGACCGGCTGGACACCATCACGTTATGATTCATTTTTCAAGGAGGCGTCTCTTTTGAGATGCATGGCTTCAGGACTGACCGATGGCTCACCGGTCGACGATGACCCGAAAAGGTGGCGGCGATCTGCGCCAGTCACCAGCAATGCGATTTGAAGTGACTTTCTAGTATTCTCCTTCCGGTCATCACGCTGAGAACTTTCCTCTTGCAGATCCTAGTGGGTACCTCTGTCTCGATGACCAGGACATCTGACAAACAAAGGGAAGAATAGGCGACGAAGGAATATGCAGCGAAGGAATATGTAACGCGGCAGTGTGGCACCTGCAGTGTGGCACCTTTGCGATGCCACCTCGAGCCCATGAACGTTACCGGCTCGGTTTGTCATGGTTTCACCACGGGCTCTAGCACAGGTGATGGCGTTCTGAAAGCGGCAGGACGGTACTCGGGAGGTCCCGCAACCATCACCAAAGCCGGAGGAGCAAGTACTTTCTTGAGAAAAGCCGGAGACCGCAGAAAACGAACCTGCTCTTCTCTCACGGGATACTCTCTGCTCCGTCTATGCTCCGAGATCGCCAAGCGTAGAACGGAAAAGACAGGCACACCAGGTACGGCTCCAAAGTGGCGGAGACACAGAAATGGCCCAGGACGTCCAGCAAGAGGAGCAATATCGATTCGGGGTGAGTTACATCGCATTCTGATCGTTTATGAATTCCCACAGCGGTATTGGGTGCCAAAAACCGTAATCCGGAGGCGTTTCCTTCGTAGTACAGTGGTCAGTATATCCGCTTTTCATGCTCTTGTAACGCGGACGACCCGGGTTCGAACCCCGGCGAGGGAACATTTTTTTTGTGGGCTCAAAAGAAATCGATGAGATGAAGGAACCGGAGGTACCGGAGAATGGCTTTTCGCCACTGATACCGGTCTGATTCTTGAGGTCTCCCTGATGTCTGGAACTCCCTTGGTCCCTCCCAGCCCTCTGCAGTCCCTTTAGCTCACTGCCGAAGGGTTTACGGCTCGAGAACTCCTCAAAACAAGACGAACATTGCAGAAGAGAGAGACGCACGGCGGTGCCACGGAAATTTGGATTTGGTTCTGCCGCATCACGTGACCCGCCAGCCCACACCCGATATTTTGAACTCCGTCGAGGTTACAACTTCACCTCATCTCCATTCATCAATCCCACCAAACCATCATGAGACTCGACGCGACGGACCTGCGCTACGTCTCTGCGGACGAGTTCCGCGTGCTGACAGCGGTGAGCGGGTCCGCTTGCCTCGCACAATTATCATCCTCGGAGTTCTTGCTGACGCCCCAGGCCGAGATCGGGTCGAAGAACCACGAGGTGGTGCCGACGTCGCTCATCGCGGAGATCTCTGGGATCCGGGGTGGCAACGTGAACAAGTGCCTCGGCTCGCTCGCGAAGCGCGGACTCGTGGCGAGGGTGCAGAACATCCGATGTGAGCGATCTGGGCGGACGTGGCTGATGGCTAGACGACGGGTACAGGCTCACGTACGGCGGGTTGGACTACCTCGCGCTGAGGACGTTTTCGAGGAGGAAGCCGGCGTCTGTGGGGAGTGTGGGGAAGAAGATTGGCGTGGGCAAGGAGAGCGACATTTACATTGTCAAGGATGATACGGGCGAGCAGAGGATCTTGAAGCTGCAAAGGTGGGCGGCGACTGAGTTGGGACGGATTCTGACGTCCGTCGTAGACTAGGTCGGATATCCTTCCGCACGATCAAGTCGAAGCGGGACTACCTGGGGAAGAGACAATCGGCGAGCTGGCAGTACATGTCCCGACTCGCCGCGCAAAAGGAATTCGCGTTTATGAAAGTGGGTCGGGAGTGGAACCCGCTGACACGCAGGTGCTGTACCAAAACGATTTCCCCGTGCCCGTCCCTATCGACCAGGCAAGACACTGCATCGTCATGTCGCTCATCGACTCGTACCCCTTGTAGGTGGTTTGAGACGAGCTCTGCTCACCCCAGGCGCCAGGTGGACCACGTGGAGTCCCCCTCCGACCTCTACGCGACGCTCATGGAGATCATCATGCGCCTGGCCCGGTGCGGACTCATCCACGGCGATTTCAACGAGTTTAACATTCTCATTCGGCGAAAGGATGGCGAGCCAGTGATCATCGATTTCCCGCAGATGGTCTCGACGAGGCACGAGAATGCGGAGTAGTGAGTGGCGCGACGCGATGTCGCTGACGAGTAGCTTCTTCAACCGCGACGTGAATTGCGTACGCAAGTTTTTCAGGAAGCGGTACCGCTACGAAGCGGCGACCTGGCCGACGTGGAAGGATGTGCTGGAGGAGGAGGCGGAGGCGGGGGCGGAGGCAAAGACACGAGAGTCAGAACAGCCAGTAGGGTCGGGAGAGTCGGAACCAGGCGCAGCGGCCGCAGAGAGCTCGACTGCCTCGGCTAAGCGGCTGCGACTGGACCTCGAGGTGGAGGCGAGCGGGTTTGGGAGAGCCCTGCAGAGGGAACTGGAAGATGTGAGCGATTCGTGATAGGTTGGGCTGACGCGTAGTACATGATCGAGGTGCAGGATCTCCCGGATAGCGACGAGGAGGAGGGGCAAGAGGAAGACGAGGAGGAGGAGGACGACGACGACGACGAGGAACTCCGCGAGCAGGACCAAACCGCGCCATTCGACGAGGAGGCGTTCCAGAAGCAAATGTCCGACCGCCTCGAGGCGATCCGGCTGAACAAGGCGCTCGGAAATGACGACGAAGACGATGCGGATTCTCACTCCGAGTCCGTCTCCGAGTCCGACTCCGACGACGTGTTGTCCGACGCACCGCCCCAATCCGACTTTACCGCGTATGTCCGCGCCCCTGCGACCCGCCCGCCTCGAATCGACGCGCGGAAACTCGGCAGCGGAAACGAGTTGAGAGATACCGTGGCGAGGCAGGCGGTGAGGCAGAGCCAGGAGAAGGACAAGAAGCATCACTCGAGAAAGGGGGCAAAGGCGGGTAACGCAAAGGGCCACAAATGGAAGACGAACGCGAGCCACATCGTGGCGAAGGCGGGGGGTGACGGGTGGTGAGGCCCACAGTGGAGCGGAGCGAAGCGAAGCGTAGCGCATAGAAGTGGGCGACAGAGCGGCTTGGTGTGCGCTGTGGAGGTCAAGCTGCATGGAACCGAGCCGCTTGGACTGTACGTGTTCGATATCGTCGCATCGTCGTATGTACAGGTACATGGATTCGTCATTGTCATTTCCGCTCCGCTGGCGCCCCGCTATCCCCCGCCTAGTAGTCAAACCACCCGAGCCTCTCGCCCTTGGTGAACACCGCGCCGCCCTCGCTCCCCGGGCGGGTATCGATCGAGTGGAACGTCGCGTGGGACGCGCCGTTGGCCTTGTGGCATCGGACTGGCAAGTCGGTTACGGTTTGAAGTGCTTCGACGCATTCGAGAGCTCGCTGGACTCACTGTGGATGCACTTGCCCTCTTCAATCTCCACCTCGCCGATGTAGTCGGTGCCCATGGGGCGGTGGACGGTGAAGTAGCGTTGCGGGTGGTAGAACTGGCGAGATCGATCCGTCAGGATAACTGCAGCGGAGAGGTGTACATGCATCTCAGGATGGTGCGACTCACGTCGATGCCGCGCTGGCCGCCCTCGGTGACCAGGTCGAGCGAGGCGAGCTCCTTGAGACCGTGCTTCTTGTCGTCGCTGAGGTGTGAGCGGAGCGAGACGGAGTGGGCTGCGTGAATCGGGAAAACGTCCCACGACAATGCGATGACGCCGGAGTGGTGTCCAACACGATCCAGCAATCCAAATGCGATTCGAATCAGACCCAGATCCATCCGTATCCCCCGCACTTCATGCCACCCACATCCAACACTCCCACTACCTCGCCAACGCCTTGTGCAAGTCCACTCACAGGGCAAGCTGGTTGATCTTGACCAAGCACTCGTGCCTCACTTCCTTGCCCTCAAACACGGCCAGACCCTCCGCATCCATCTTCTTGACCTCCCCGACGGTCGCGTCCGGGGGGAGAGTCGAGCGGTGCGCGTGCTCATCCCCGTGGGTGTGGGTGAGCCCGGCGTACTCTGCGGCGGTGCTGGCGAGGTTGGACGCGTGGGTGGCCGCGGTGGATGCGACGGACTTGGCGGTGTCCTGGGACGGGCTGTCAGCGGACTGAAGCGGATTGAACGGATTGAAGCGGGTTGAAGCGGATTGCAGCTCCACGGTGATGCGGTGTTGCGGACGAAGGAGCGGTTGATGTGACATCGTGGAGCGGTGATGGCCCAGTGCAGGGGAGTGCATGGAAAGCCGGCGTGTCCCGCACTCACGAGGACGTTCTGCATGTTGCAAAAGATTCTTTGTCGTGATGTTTCCTTGATATGCGCTGTGTATGTGGTGAAAGCGAGAGATGAAGAAGAGAACGAACACTCGTCGAGGAATCCACTCCGTCTCCGGCAACACCATCCACCCGGCGTGGCACCTTTCTGACGTCATCAAAGCTCTGCTGTACACCGTAGTCATTGCTCATGCCGTTTCATGCAATCCGCCGTAACATATGCCTCATTAACCGACTCGACATCACCACGGCCTCCACGTGTCCGTCTTCCCCGCGCTCCCGGACAAGTCATTCGTTATCGCCTTGTGCGCCGTCATGAGGTCTACCGGGTCAGCCACGAGACCAATCTGCGCCGAAATCCTTACAATCGGTATAGCTCAGCGCGTCGTTGTTTGAATCCTCGACGAGCTGGTTTGCAAACTCGATTTCCATCCCGTCCATGTTTTGCCGGACAATGATCACCGGCATGGCATGTCCGATGACCCTTTCCAGGTGGGTGAGGATGTTCCGGACTTGAGTGGACAGCAGCGTGGGGAGTTTCGGCAGGCGGGTCTAGACGTCAACGAAGCCCAGATGCGTTGCACTTACCATCCGCACGTCGAGCTCCTCCACGTTGTCCGTGCCCCAGAGATCATCTACGATCTGCGGGCTCACCGCGCCACCCAGCCAGATCATCGCGGTCTCGCCGTTGGCTAAAGTCAGCACAAAACGCCACCCCGCGCTCACTCATCAGATACGCCCCCTCGGCCACCATCCAGCCGTAGCTCGCGCGCATGAACCGGGGCAGCTTGAGCCGGCCATTCGCCCCCGGGAACCCGACGTCCTCGGCGAGGTCGTGTATGGCGAGTAACCTGGGGTAGAGCAGGCTCATAACCGGAGTCACTCCGGCGGAGCGGAACACGCGCATGTAATGGGCCCGGACGTCGGACGTGACGTTGCCGCCTAGAGTCAGCGGAGGCTACACATCGGCGCACCTTTGATCGGCTTCGACTTTAGCATGCACAGGGTGTACAGCGGGAGCAGCTTGAGCCCTTCCGGGAGGATGAGCTGGCGTCAGCGGCGTCGACGCGACGACCCACCTGTCCCTGCTGCACCGCCGGCGCGCAGTGCTTCCGGTACATCAAGAGCATCCTATTCGTCTTGTCTTGAAGACTCCGACGGATCTCCCGCAGCGGTTTGCTCGGCATCTGCGTCACCGCCTCCTTGATCAGGAGCGTCGCCGCGGCGTCGAGGTCGGCGAAGCGGAACACGTTCCCGATCAGGCTCGTCGTGCCAAAGCTCAGGTTGAGACAGCGCACCCGCCTGTGGCCGTCGCTACTCGTGTAGAGCACGGCGACTTGGACGTACGCCGGTTGCCTATCGTCGAGCCGCTGCCCCTCGTGCCGCAGCACGGCGCCGAACGCTTTGGCATCGTCAATAGTGCCAAATTCCAGGTCGGTCAGACTGCGCTGGTAGAACCCGCCGACATGTTCCGCCGCGCGGAGTCCGTTGCTGCAGCGGATCCGAACCGTGGCGTTGTACACGGTTTCCCGGG